TATGTATTGATTTAGGTCCTTATTTATTACTTAATTTACATATTTTGTAATTTATTTTTTTATTTTTTCTTTTTTAGCTTTCCATGTGGACTTTAAGTTTTGTTTATAAATTTTCCATCCACTTCGATTGGTTTCCACAAAACAGCGTAGTTGTCTCTTTGACTTTCTCTGCAGCTTTCTCTTCCGGTTTGACTCTCTTTCGCAGTAATGACTGCTCTCTCTCTTACTCCTTGAGCCCCCCTTTGTCAACTCCACGACCTCCTCCGCACTTTGTCCCCCTCGTTCTTTCTCTCTCTCTCTTCCACTCCCTGCTCCTTCTCCGCCCCTTTCTCTTTGCTTTTACAGGCGGCAACGGCAGCGGCAAGTTCTCTATGTATTCCTTTTTTTCTGCTTTTCTACCGTTTTATTTCAGTAACTTTTTCCGATTCTGCTTTGGGCCCGCATTCGCTTTCACCGAAAAAAACCGTAGGCGCACAAACAACAACAAATCGCACTCGAAATTATTTATTTAAGTCAATAAAGTTTTCATGCCAGAATTTCGTGGGGACTTTTTCGCTGATTATCTCTGGCGGATATTGGTTAATCCGTGTATCCCAAGAAGATATATATCTCTTTTTTGGCCGCTGCCGTTGGGCCCCCACACCCGTAAAAATAGCAAAGCAAATAGAAATTATACAATCACTGGCTGCGATATCGAAGCAATGAATTATTTGTAGCACTCGCGTTCGGGGGATTTCTCGATTCGGCTTCGGATTCAACTTGCTGCGCCCTGCGTTGTGCAGCGATTTATTTATTGCACAATTCGAATGTGTCTCAGTTTTGGCTTTCTTCTCGGGTTCTTTTCTTTTTTTCTGTATTTTTTTCTAGCCTCTGTTCGCTGCGTGTGGCTGAGTCGGAGTGTTTTCGTTTACTCAGGAGCCAGCGCAGGATGCGTGCGATGCCAGGCCATGAATTTTTCATCATCGGGCATCCTTATTAGAGATTTTTGCCCCATCTCGATGAGATTGCTGCGCGCAGAGCCAAAAAGCATCCCAAAGAGAGCAAAAGCTGTAGAGCGAAAGGAAATTGAGAGAGAGAGAGAGAGGGGGAGCTCTGTTGTTAAAGGCTGATTGTGGGTGGTGCATCTCCTTAAAAGATTCCCCCTCCACCTAAACTATAACACCGAATTTTTCTCGGCACATGCATTTCTGTCAAGGCCCATCATAATCTCATTCAGGTATTTTTCCTGAATTTTTTCCTTTCTTTTTTGGGGTTGTTCGGTTATTGTCTGTTTGGGGGGCGGCTTTTTGGGGGTGGCTTTATCTTTATCTGTTTATTTTTCGCTCTCCACGTACCGAAAGCTTTTCTATTGTCAGTCTTAATGGACATGTCACTTTGACATTTCCCGAGAAAGCAAGAGAAAAGTTTATTTGGGCTGCGCAGGATTTTCCAAAGTATAAGAAAAATACACTTATAAAACGGTTGCTGAATCAACTAACTCATAGGCGGTATTGGTTGTGGTCTTGGCTATTAGGGCCGATTATTAAATTCGCCACGCTAGGCGAACTCGAGTGTTGTTAAGAAACGCCTGTAGATGTCGCTTTTATAACTTGTATACTCTTGCAGAGGCAATAAAACTTTGATAAGGTTTTGGAATCTTAAATAAGAACGCATTTACGATCTTATAAAATACATAAATTTCTAAAAAAATCCATCAAGGGTAATTAAGCTTTTCCTTTTTATTTTGAGCAGGGACCGTAATCATTAAAAGTAATATTTTAAAAATTACTTTGTAATGATTACTTATCGATTTTTAATTTTTTAAATCAAGACTAATAATTATTTTTGAGCAGAAAAAATAAAAATCACAAATAATCATTAAGCTTGAGCAAAAAAAATAAAACTCAAAAATAATGATTATTTGTGATTTTTATTTTTTTCGCTCAAAATAAAACTCAACAAGCAACAACTTTTGATCCTTTAATATGTCAATAAATAAAATTAATAAGCGGTTGTTGTCAATTGTTGCTCTAGGGTCCCTTTATAAGGACATAGGACAATATTGGCAATATCCTTAAAGGATCAAAAGTTGTTGCTTGGTGAGTTTTATTTTGAGCGAAAAAATAAAAATCACAAATAATCATTATTTTTGAGTTTTATTTTTTTTGCTCAAAAATAATGATTATTTGTGATTTTTATTTTTTTTACTCAAACATAATGTTTAACAATAGAAGAATAAATATAAAAATTAAAAATTAAAAATCATCAAGGATATTCATAGTGTATCCTTAAAGGATAAAAACGTGCTAGTCATGCTTGTTCTATGTTGATTGGAAGTGATTGATTTATTCATTTGAAAATAGCGACAATAATCATTATTTACGGTCCCTGATTTTGAGTGCTTAATTTAATTAGAAATTCCCAAAACGGATCTTAACTTTATTAAATATCATATTATCATAACTATATCAATTTAACATTACATATTTTGATTTAATAATTACCTTGTCTTTAATTTCTATAATGGTGGGTATAATTTCGTTAACTTTAAATATGTACACTTTCACGACCAACTCTTTTATAATTTCCTATGCAAATAGTCCTAATTTCCGATTGCTTCCACACGGCAATAAAAATAACAAAATCAGCCATAACGATTGTTTGCTAAACAACAATAGAAAAATCAAAATACATTGCGTTTTATATGTGTGTTCTTATATAAACAGCCTGATTACGCAGTTGAGCTAAACGCAAACAACAAATTAAATTACACGATGTTTTTGATGCGATTTTATTTACTTCCAGGTTGTGCTATTGAAGCTATTGTATTTTGGGAGTACTTATCATTTGAAACCCCAATGAAAACCTTTTAAAAAGCCCCTCGAAAACTCCTTTGCCATCTCTCTATTTAATTGCGCCTTTCGTCGTTTCTTGGATGACATCTGCTGGCCTTCCTGCCCTTCGTCCTAGCACAAGTATTTCTTCTTCTGCCTTGCCAGAGTCCTTTTTATTTTTTTTTGTGGTTAAAATGAAAATCAATAAAAAGCTCAATGACGTCAACAGTCCAGACACACACACACACACCCACACTCGCACACTTACATACAACGTAAGAAGCGGCAACATCGGAAAATGCTGGTGGCCAAATGGCTGCTGGCTCTCCCAGACTCCGGCTGCCACTCCCTCCGCCCACGGGTGGTGCTCTCATCTCCGCCGGAGATCCAATCGCTCCCCTTCGTGCGCCAGTGTGTGTGGGTGTGTGCCGGCGAGTGTGCGAGTGTGCGAGTGTGCGTGTGTTGTGGAGCCGAAGACTCCTCACGTGAGCAGGCTATCAGCAATGGACTAACAGTTCCGACAGTCAGAAACGCGTTTATCTTACGAGTTTCAGCTGATTCACACTGAGAGAATAATCTAGAAAATTTAAATTTTAATTTAAATTCCTTATCTAAAATTCAAAAACCATTAAGATATTGTTATAATGCACTTTATTTCTTGATGTACCTAATTAATTTTTAAAATTAAATGCAAACTTTTTATTCGTATCCTTTAAAAAATTAGTAAAATTAGAGCAAATGCAACCCCTGTCAACATCTTTAAGTATTACTTTTAGGTAACTTACTATATTATAATAGGCATGCTCTGTTATTTTCTCTGTATCTTTCTTTTCTCTCCTAAGGGCAACCAACGACAAGGAAATGCACTGGGGCTAAAAATGGGCAGGGCTGGACTGATTTTGACAATTGACGCCAAATCTCATGACGACTGCGATAAGCTGGCAGATAAAAGCGAGAGCAGCAACGACAACTCAAGCCAGTTGTGAAATATGCAACAGAAGTGTACAAATTTTATAGGATTTGTTGTGTGCTGGATATTTTTGACAAGCACGTGATGTGCTAAGGTCAGACGTTGAGTATCCAAAAATAAATTTGATTTATATAAATTTAAGAAGGGAAATCATGAAAGATAAATTGGCTGTTAATAAGTAACAAAATTTAACCAATAATACTTAGAATGATTTAGCTATAATGTATTTATCTTCAAAATATGTTCATAATCTTGCTTATAAAAATCCTCAAATTAATAAAAGTTAATAAACACTAAACAGATATTTTATTGGACATTAAAACCGTTTGTGCAATGGAATCCTTTCAATCATGCGATATAACTTTCTCCCCTCTCATGTTTCTGCCCGCCAAAGTATGCAATAAAAAGCGATTCGTTCCAATTTGCCGCTGCTGCTACTGCAACAACATCCCGAATGCATTCAGAAGTTGTTTCTTTTTCGGCAACAAGAGAAGGGGGAGGAACCAACACATTTCCATAAGCACACACAAGCACACACACACCCCCAAACAGCAAACATGAAGAGTTGAATTTTATGAATATGCAACACGATGTTGTTGCTTAATGTTTGCCCAAAACAACTATATGAGCATGTAATGCCCCCAGGAGGCGGATATTTGGGGTGGAGTTGAAGTCTGATACACACACACACACGCACACATGGTTACATTTATTAGAGCAGTTAGTTTGTAGTAGGTGTTAAAATTGCACATGAAATATGAAAAGCCACTCATAACACTGAGAGAAACATGGAGTCCCAATTGCCTGGTTAACAACTCCCTGGTCAATTCACCACATATCCAAGAGAGCCAGCAAAAGAGAGAGCGAGTCCCTGAGTGCGAGAGAGAGGAAACGGGGATAGCGAGAGAGAAATTCCTGAACTGCTGACGACAATCGAAGCGAATTCCTGATGTAGGTGGGCCATATCGTGGGCTATATACCGTTAGCTAGGCAGCCAACCAGCCAGCTTTTTCAGCTCCAGCTGCGGGTCCAGTTTTCAGTCGTTGTCGTGCCGTCGTGATGTCGTTGCCGTCGTCGCATCCGTCGTCGTTGTCGTTGTTGTTGTCGCCGCACTCCATGTAGTTGTTGTTGGTGCAGCAGCAGGCAGTACAGCAACAGCAACACCAACACACCAACAAAACAGCAGCAGCAGCAACATCAGGCTTTAATCGCCAGCAAAACAACAATTTAAAAAAAAACCAACAAAACCAAAAACAAAAAAAAAACAACAAAAAAAGGAATATTATGAGTTCGCTAAACAGAAAATTAATTTGCGCATATGGAATGCTGCACACATAGATATAGTCGTACATATACATATATGTATATTTGCCTATGTTATACACACACAAATCTACATAAAATCTAAGTGCAAACCAATTGTGATTTAAGCTAATGACCACAACTACAAAAAAGCTACAAAAAAAGAAGTGTATAAAAAATGTAAGAAAATGCTGAATTTTTCATTGGATTTTCCTAACAAAAATTTGGTTCGTGTTTTTTTTTCTTTTCTCGTCGTTCGTGAGCTGGTTGCTTTTTTCTGTACACACAACGCCACGCAATCCCACCCAAAACTCTCCTCTCTCCGCTCTCTTCGCTCCTCGACTTGTCGCCTCTGCGCTCCTTTGTTGTGTTGGCCGTGATCTCGTCGTCCTTTTGGCCCGGATTCGGTGCGGATGAACGCATTAAATATGCAGAAAAATAAAGCCACACACACTAACGTGTAGAGCAGTTAACTGCTATGCTTTATCCTTGAGCCAACAGAAAATGTAATTAAGTAAATGCCAGGAAAATTTTCTATGAGCTATTTTCATTTCTTCACTATGACAGTGAAGGATATTTTTAAGTTTTTTAATTTGTTTCGGTTAAACAAAGAAAGTTACTATTAATGCGGGTGAAAAGTCGAATGAGAGAGGAAGTAAAAGAGAGAGAGTTCACCACACACAATCAAAAATAAAGAAAGCCATTCAATACAATTAAAACTAAAGTTCATTAAAAAAGAAGCTGAAACATTTTTGAATGATTAAAGAGCAAAAATGTAGTAAAGGAATATATATTTATTAATGTACAACAGTGCGTATGATTAACTTGGCTAACACATCTTGGCCTTTGGACTCCGATGATTGAGTGGAAAGCCCAGTATAAAAGATCCCAGTATTTCCTGTCAGCTGCAGTGCCCTCTCTCAGTCACTCACTGGCTCTTTCCCTCTCTAATATTCCCTGAGTGTGCGTGAGTGTGTGTGTTACAACAATAGAGGCAGCATGCAACATAATTACAACTCAACTTCAACTTTACAACTTAGACGACAAGCGAAGCTCGCTAGAGAAACAACAAAATAACGACGGCCGTTTAAGTGATTACCGAAAAAATACATATAAAATATGAAAGTTCATAACGAATCTCTCTCTTTCTAACCAAGCAGTTTTCAAGTTTATTAAATATATACCTATGAAAATCAACCAAAGCCTTGTAAATAGCAAAACGAAGTAACCAAAGAACAAAACTCTTTTCTTATCAATAAAAACCAACAGAAGTCTAAACCAAAGGAATTAAAAACCTAACCAAAATCATAAAAAACAAACAACGAATTAACAGACAACGCCGTTTACACAACAACTTGATAGAGAAAATGCATGTAAGTTAAGCCAAAGTAAAGTGAATTGTTTTTTTGGGATTAGGAAATCCCATTAAGCAGTGCAAAGATTAGTCTCTATCCATTTCGAAATCAAAGTATCAAGAAGCAACAACATCAACAGTTGCCCCAAACAATGACGAACAATGGCCGAGAAATTGCCACAACATATAAAGCAAATTTGCCCCTGTTTCTCTCTTGTCTGCAGTTTTCTTCTCTTTTGTGGACGTTACTGCTCTGTTTACTGGGCAATAATGAATAGTAAACTGGGTGTGTGGGTGGTGGGTGGTTGGTTTGGTGGGCGGTTGTTGGATGGTTGTTGCCATCGACGGGCGTTAAATTTAATTAAAAGGTAAACTAGTAGTAACAGCAACAGGCAGCCAGTTGAAATCGATTTTCCTTCTACTCGATTCAGTTGGCAAACGTCGAACGTCACTAGGCAACAAATCGGATAATCTGAGGTTGGCAAAAAAAAGGGCCCTTAACTATATAGACAGCCGATGGTAATGACGACACAGACACCCACACTCGAGTTAACCATCGCCAAGTGAGCCAAAATGGACGTCATAAATGTTTGACAATGCACACGAGGCGTATGAGTAATGGCAGCCAGCCCACATGTACCAAAGGTCTTTGTTGTTTGGGTACAAGTGGGCGTGGATGTATGTGGGCGGTAGGTCGGTCGGCTGGTTGGATGGTTGGTTGGACATCATTGAAATAACTATCCATTGACACTGCCCCTCTTTCCTTCGTTTTTTTCCCCCTTTTTGTGGGGGTCAATGGGTGCATGAAATTGCTTTTTATGCTTCGATGTCATTGCTCGCCTTTCTGCCCCCTCATCTCCCCCTGAAAAAGGACATAGTGTCTCTTGTTGGGCCAACTTTCTGCTGTAACCCCTTTTCGCCCCCTTTTGACAAGTTTTTGTCGCTTGTATTTGTTTGCCGTTAATTGCATGGAAATTGTGCGCGCAATTGAAAAAGTTGAGCAAGCCAAACGACAAAGTGGCATTGTTCCAGCTTCCCGTTTTTGCCGTTTCCGGGAAAAGGCATAGATATCCTTTTTTTCTCGGCCCACACAGTCGAGTCAACGACTTGCGTTTTGGCCGGGCAACGACTATGAATGAATAAGTGCAATTACAGAACAAACAGCCATGAATCAAGCGAGTGGCGGCCAGCCACGAATGTAAAATGGTCATTAGTCAGGCCGGCGGGAAAGCCCCCAAGACGTACCATTTGGCAGGGCAGCGCAGAAAGTCACCAAGTCATTGCCTCGTTTATAGTTTTTGGCTGCAACAACACAAAACGGCAACTTGGCCACGTTTTCTTTTATGGCTCTATTCGAGTGTTTGTACGAGTATGTTTGTGTGTGTGTGTCCTGCGAGTGCTACATACTCAGCTTTTCCGAGTCCATTGCACCCGGCGACTAAAAAACGGCTGACGCCATGAAAATTTTCGCCAGTCAATTCACTTATCTGCATAAATTTCAAGCGATCTCCACGGGCGGCGTGACGTCACAGGTACTACAATAACTACAATATAGTAACACAAGAATAGCCCCCCGTTGACAGGTGATGTCAGTTGATAAATGACCCAGTTCCTAACCGAGCAACCAGTTGATGCTTTGCCCTTTTGGTTGATAAAAATAAGTGCAAAACTACAAAACACGTTGATGGGTTTAAGTTTAGAGGGAAATGAAAAGGAGCAGTAGGTGATTCTCGGAAAAGTAATTGGAACAACAACGAATGCAATCTTGCACAAAGGAGAACCTTTTGCTTTTCCTTTCTTGGAAAAGGAGTTTCTTGCAAATTGTTCAGGGCTTTGTGCACTTATACGAAAAGGAAACCAATTAGCAAGAAATTATACAAATATTTTTGTTTGTAACCAGTTTCATTTGTAACAAAAATTTTCAGTTGAATAATTTAATTTTGCCACACTGTTTATTTTCTACATTTACTTTTAATAATTTAGTAAGTCCCTTCATAAATTCAATTATATACGAATTTAAGTATTTGTTGTATTTTTTTCCTTCATTAATTAATGTTTACTATATATTAGGTTTTATTTAAATAGGTAACCCCACTTCTCTTTCAATTTTAATTCTCTGACTTAAAAGTAAATTTCGATAGTTCTACTTTGCTTAGCAGTAATAAGTTTAAAGCAAATAATACCAATTGTTTTCGATTGTAGTTAGCCACTTAGCATTTTGACCTTTTGTCTGATGGCTTTCTTGTGTTGCCTTACACTTTGACTGCTCCGTGCTCTTTTTCCAGCATTTCAAATGCATTTCCGATGAGGTTTCCCTGCCGCTGGGCACATTGTTGTTGCCGCTTCTGTTGCTGATTGCGATGGCTAATTGAAAGTGTCAATTATCAGCTGGGCTGGGGCAGTTGCATTTCCAGTTGCGACGTCTGGCAGTGAACTTTCACATTTGTGCCTCGGCTCGGTGCACTCCCATGTGCTTCTGTGCTTCCATTCCCTCTATCCACGTAGTTGCCTGCGGGGCGTATGCGTAATGTGCAATAACCTTGGCCAGTGGACAAGGAATGCCGAGTGCTCCTCCAACGCCCACCGCACCCCTGGATTTTTCATTATTATTATAATTCATCCTTGTGCCTGATAAGTTTTCCCTTTGCCCTGCTTTGGGTTTTTCTATTGCTGCGCTTTTTTTTTAGTTGTTGTACTTGCTGTAGTAATTGCTATTTGTTGTTGTTGTTTTTATCGTTGTTGTTGTTGGTGCTGAGTTCGCGCGGTCAGCGCATGAAATTTCTATCTACTGCGAAGCAGGTGGCTGGGAAATTCACATGGGGAAATTCAAGGGATTTTCACTCGCGCTCACCAGTTAAAATATTGGCGCGCGCAGTGAGAGAAGTTCGTGGTGAACTGTTAACCGCTCGCTCTCTCTCTTTTACTCTCGCTCTCTTTGCTACTTTCTCCTCGTGCCTCAGTTAATATGCTGATTTTTGTGTTTTCGTGGCTTTATTTGCGAAAACTTTCCCGGGAAGTAAGGCCAAAGGAATGCTGTTTGTAATCAATTGATTGAAGACCAAGAAGATTGATTTCTGGTATTAAATTCGTAACCTGGCAGGTCATAACAAGTCCCATGTCCTCGTCGTCCTGAATGTCCTGCTCCTGTTCGGTTGTTGGCCATAAAGCAGCCACTTAAGCCCCACCAACCATCCAACGCAGCCATCAATTTTGCATGGCACGTTGGCGCTGTTGTTGCAGGCCATGCTGCATCTGCTGCATTATCAATTCATGAGCTCCCGCTGAAACACAAGACGCCATATACTCGCACACCAGATACAAGATACAAGATACACGCCATCGCCGGAGGACCTCTGTGGATGGCAGCATAAAGCAGGCCCATAAACACCATGGAAGCTGGATTTTATCTCGCTTGAACTACATAAGTTATAGGCCAAGAGGGGGTTGCAACTGCACAGAAAGAAATCCTAAGGACCTACTCCGATTCCTAAAAGGATGAAGGAGTGGATATGAAATACAAATAAAATAGGATTTAAGCAATAGGATAATACTTATCTTAAATTCTTTTAAAATAAATAAAGGATCTTTTTCACTTTTTTCTTATAAGGTTTTAAAAGATGCTATTGAACAATAATGTATTTTATGCTTAAACACTTATTCTCTCCCTGTAAAAATGCGAGTTTGTGTGTGCAAGCCCTAAGGATGCGCCATAAACCAGCAATAAATACACATTCATGAGCGAAATCAATCGCATTTTTCATGTAGTTGATTTCTCGACATGGTTTTTAATGTCTCCCAAACTCAATTTGATCGAAAAGTGGGTCGCCCATATTGATGGAGTCTCGTAAAGTTATCTGTTCTGTGGGTTATAACATTTCCTCTCAGTGGTGCGAGGGTCATAAGCAATGCCCACTTGGTTTGGACATCTCTGACCTGCTGTTGCTGCTGCAATATTCATGCAATCAAAGCTGCTGCTGCTGCTGCAATTTGCTGCAAATGGGGATTCACGGCTCCAAATGCAGCAGCTGCTGATCCTTTGCTAAGCTCCGGTTGCCACTTTCAAATAGGATTAGAGGTCGATATCCTGGCTAAGTCGCATATCTTACTCTATTTTGCGCAGCCTGCTTGATGGCTTTTAATTACGATGGCTTGGATTGCTTCCTGGCCCATTGAATGCTAATTTCGAACGCCTTTCAGCCGGAGGAAATGAGGCACATGAAAGCATCTTCTGCTCCCCTGCAAGTGAAGTGTCTGCTTCCGGTTGCACCCTGCGCTCTGCAGTCGCTTCCATCGGGTTTGTCTATATAAATAGCCGACTTTGCCCCCAATCGCCCCCGTTCTTCACCTCCCCCGGGTTCTTCCGTCTGGCCAGGCAATCTCCTCTTATGCGTGAGTGTTTGCGTGTCCACTCAAAAAAATTAATTAAAATACAGTAGAATCCTGTTATAACGACTCCGCTTATAGTGTCCGTCCGGGTATTGCGACGAAAACTCGATGGCTTGATTGGTCCCCAGACAGACTTATACACTTAAATCCTTCTGCTTAGTGCGTCTTCCGGGTATAACGACGAAAAATCGTCGGTCCCTTGAAAGTCGCTATAAGCGGATTCTACTGTATATGTATTTTAACTAAATAAAATTAATTATAAAATAATCTTTAAATATTTGAAGTGATGCAGAAGGGATTACACAGTGTTTAGTAGACTTATCTAAATGTTTTACAAAAAAATTAGAAAACATCTTTATGCAAGTCTGTTTAAGTGTTTTCAGTTCACAGTTATGAAAGTTAATTTACTTTGATTACTGGTGGGGTATAAAATATATTTTAAATTCATGAAAATTATAGGTTGTTATCTTTTTCAGTGTGAGTGTGCATGGCCTCGTATATATTTTCGCATTTTGTACGTGCGTCACCGTGTCAACCGCAGTGCCCCGTGGCCCCTCCCCCTTTCCCCACATCCTTTTCGTACCCCCCTTTCGTTCCCTTTCAGTAAGGGACCTGCCTGGTTTTGCGGCTGGTTGTTTGCCCTGGCACGTTGATGGCCATAAATACAGTTACATATGTTTGCATTGCGGCCAGATACTGACCACCCCAGCACCTCCTTTCCGTTGGCAGGACCTCCTCCCTTTTTTGCCTCCTGTTTTGCCCGCACTGCTCATCTCGTTAAAATTCTCATTTCCTCCTGGCTTACTTTCTGTTTGTTTTTTAAATTTCGCATTGCATTTGGTTTACGGGATTTAATTAAATGGTTTTTGCCTCCATTTGAGTAGCAAATTAATCGGTTAAAGCAAATGTAGAAAAACTACTATGGTCTAATGAAATCTCGTTTTAAAAATCAAATTTATTTTGAAAAAGTAAATGGATTCCGTTTTAATGAAAGACATTCTAGACACTTTTTTAATGAATGGAAAAACCAGGAATATATTCAAATACTTCTGGGTTTTAAATTAAAAGGTTGGGGCTTTAGTTTCGAAATTAAGTTTACATTGTTGTGTTATTCTTATCTTATACTCCTTTTTCTCATTTGCAGTGCTAAATAACTGGATTCTTTGAACTTCCTTCAAACCGAGTGGCCTGTAATTCAGAACTGTCTCAACGCAAAAATGGCACCACAACGCACTGGGAAACATCAACTTCGGCAGCAACAGCAACAAAGGGCGCAACCAAATTGGCAAGGGCTGCAGCAACAACAACAGCAATTAGAAACAACAACAAAGGCCCGGCAACGATATAGAGCAGTGGAAAAATGAAACAAAAACCAGAAACGAATTTTCCACTCAAATTTGCATTCTGCCAAAGTAATACAAAAGTCTAAACAAAGAGGAAGGAAACAACACACAAAACAGTGCACAATAAGAAAGTTGCCACTAGAAAAGGGGTCAGAGGACACGCACACACACACACAGACACACACATAAAAAAATACACAAACAGGAGCAGACCACAACATAAAACACATAAAACATTCAACGGACACAAAGGACGTCGAGTGCATTGTGTACAATTTTCAACGAATTTCCAAAAGTCTACATAACAAATCTAACAAAAGTTCATTAAAAATAATAAAACAAAACAAAACCATAAAAATATTTGAAATTTGCTCTGTGATTTTCTATCAGAATGGTTTAGTAATCCAAGTAATAATAATAATATTTAATAACATAAAGTATTTATAAATATTGCTAAACTGCATTCCAAGCAACCAATACAAAACAACAAGAGAAAAGTTTATCAAATCCCCAAAGAAAAGCTTTAAGTCCAACCCAAAACGAAAATCAACAAAACTTTCTATAAATATTACGAATCAAAGTTTATTACACTGCGCCTAATTAGAGCAGCTAACGCTAGTTAGATAACTTCGTTCAGAGCCACAATTTCACTAGAGGATAGGATAAACCCAGACCGGAGCCATGGACGAAATGCCCGACCTTTCGCACCTCACGCCCCACGAGCGGATGCAGATCGAGAATGTCCTTATGCGGCAAAAGCAGGAGGAGGAGAAGCAGAACGAGATCATGCGGTGAGTTTGAAAACAAAATAATAAAATATAGTTAGCCTGCGCTTTTTTATACCCTTGCAGAGCAATACCCTTTGTATTATAATTTCAGTCAGAAGTTTGCAACGCAGTGAAGGAGACACCTCAGACCCCATAAAGTATACATACTCTTGATCAGCATCACCATCTGATTCGAAATCCGTCTGTACGTCTGTCTGTCTGTCCGTCTGTCTGTCCGTCTGTCCGTCTGTCTGTCCGGCTGTCCGTTTGTCCGTTTCTCTTCAAACTAGTCTCTCAATTTTAAAGCTATCTTGCTGAAACTTTCCCAAAAGGTGTGTAGTTATTGCACGCAGTTTATAAGTCGGAACGAGCCGGATGATGTTTTTTAGCCTTTATGCATTTGGATCAACTGATGACTGCAAGGGTATATAAGTTTCGGCTTGCCGAAGCTAGCTTCTTTTCTTGTTTTATCTTCTATTTTGATTAACTTTTGTAATGCTCTGAAAGCAGAACCATATTTTGGGTATTATTTATAACTATAATATTACAAAAATTACTTCTAACTGGTTTTAATAACAAAAAAAGCTTTTAATATTAAGTTAGGATTAGTTATTTTTACCTTACATTAACAAAATATATATCCGATTAATATTTTCCAAGAATCCACTAAATCGTTTTATTAGTTTTCTTTGAAAAGCTATTGCCTTTATTGTCATACTTGTTTGGTTTTTAGAGCAAAGTTTTTAAACTATTTTTTGTGATTTTATTAGTTTCTTATATCAGTCTGAAGAACTATCTCTTATGCTAGACATTCAGGAGGGCTTTAAAAATCTTTTCCTTAGACATTTCCCCACTGCAATTACTTACTGACATGGCTCTACTTTCCTGATCCCCTTGCAGACGCAAACAGGACGAGGTGGTCACGCTGGAAATGCAAATCAGACAGCGCTCCGAGCAGCAGAAGAAGGCCGGCGTTGAGCTGGATGCCACCTGTCACATATGCCTTAAGACCAAGTTCGCCGACGGCGTTGGCCACATTTGCCACTACTGCAACATCCGCTGCTGCGCTCGGTGCGGCGGTAAGGTGACGCTGCGCAGCAACAAGGTGAGTTACCCAAAGCCATTCCATCCATTTGACAGCTCCTTTAGATTCGCTTCATTCACCTGTGTGTGTGTGTTTGTCCTGCCACCGGGCTAAGATACTTGTCGAAGCGCGCGTGACAGCGGGAAAATGGTTTTTTTCCTAAGGGTGTCGGACTCGTTTTCCGCTCATTGACAAATAGGACAGCGCTGGTGCCAATATTACTGGCGACCCGGCTGCCGCTTGACTAAGCAGCCATCACTCATACGCCCCATTGCCATAGGCCAACATCGCTTGTTGCCAACCGTCGCCAGTGACGCGTGGAGCACATGAATAAACGCCATTGTCGCCTCTTAGTCCGCTGGATAATTGGCGATGGGCGATGTGCGAGTGGGTGGTCCCGGGGCTCAACCCCTGACCCACTAGCCCTTCATCCTGGCGCCTCTCAATTCGATACTCATAATTTACAAATAATATTTAGTTTCGAGCAATGCCGCTGGTCAAGGATTTGGGATGACGGAACCCCTTGGGGTGCCAAGTATAAATCTATGGAAGCTAGTTTATGACCCAATGTCTTGTCTTGTAGCGAAAAGATTTACAAGCAGAGTAACAGTCAAGTCAAGTAACTGTAAAGTCAAGGCTTTTAAAGAATGAAGTATACTGGAAATTGATTTTTATTACCAAACGCAGTTTGAAATCACAGTCTCGTTATTCTTAATATTTTTTTCACGTTTTAAATTTCTTAAAGTTTTTATTTCTTCAACATTATTTCTATATGTAAAGGAACATTTTCCACTTGTCCTTGCTGAATGCAAAAAGTTCTTCTTCAACACGAAATATTAGAAGGCGGGCATTGCATCCACGTTATTTTCGATACATACCATTTATTTCCGTGCACCTTAACCAGTAACCTTGATATCGGAATATCTTTTGCTGGCATTGAAGGAATTCCCCTCCGCATTTCTTCCTTTAAATTCATTGTCCCCCCTTTTCTCCCTCGCGGTGCATTGCATTTCAATTACACTTTTTTCAATTTTTATTTAACTCAGTGAACAGTTTCCTTGCTTGTTTCCCTCGTTTCTTTTTTTTTCCGCTGCCCAGGCTTATCATTTTCTGGCCGTGCTGCCAAACGTTTTTCCGTTGAACTGCTGCCAAAATGTCACACACATACACAGTCGCCAAAAAAGAACGGCATTTGTGGACTTTTGGGGGGTTAAGAAGTGAATTCCAGAGCGAAAAATAAAACGAGATGGACCAGCAACTCCGTACAAAAATCGAATGGAATTTCAATTTGGCTGTGACACGATGAGGCAGCTTCTTCAGCCAAAAAACGGGGATCTGGAAGCGCGAAAGATGAGCGACAGGTGGAGCCAGCGGAACCTTTCCGCCTGCTGATCGCCCTGGAACGCTGCCACAAGCTGCACGTTGCTAAATCCCGAAAAGTATTCGCTCTCGCAGCGCTCCACATAGGTGGTCATGAATATTAGGCCGCTGAAAAGATCGTACAACTTGGTGAAGTAGTAGAGTACACTATAATCCTCATTACTGCGTTCATCTTCATCGCCCTCGAAAAATGCATCCATGTGTTGGGCCTCCATAGCAATGTCTGGCAGCCAAAATCGAAAGCCTTGCAAAAGCAATAATAAATTACCAGAAGGGAGGGAAAAATGATGTGTGCTAGAGTGATTGATAAAACAGAATAGACTACAATGGGTTCAATCTTTTGACATTCTAAAGAAAGGTTGGATGAATACCTTTTGAAAACTAATGGCGATTAGCAGATATTTCAGCATACATCACGACTTTTAGAAACATATTTCTGGTTTATGGCTAACAGCTTTTGAACATGGATTTTTAAAAATTTTAGTAGGGCATATATAAATTAAAGGCCTACTGTTTCGGCATTCTGTGGTTTGAGTTCCAATTTTGTGGTTAATAACAAAGAAATATAAACATATATATATACATACAATTATCATAGTCCAGTGTGTATTGCGTTTTATAAAGTGTGTTAAGATTATTACATTTTCAAAACCACCTCTCAAATCGCAATTACTCAACGATTCTCTACCTTCAACTTCCAGGTTATATGGGTGTGCATACTGTGTCGCAAGAAGCAGGAGCTGCTGTCCAAAACTGGCCAATGGATCAACAAGACGGCGGGCCAACAAGACGGTTTCATCCGACGCATCGAACCGGATGGCAGCAGCGTGAGTAGACCAATCCAATCAAATCGAAGTCAGCAGCTTAAGTAAGAATTATTATTTTCGACAGGACATCTCCCAGCATCCCATTGTGGATCCGCACGACACCACGGACAAGCGGCCCAAGCTGGAAAGGACTCGCAGTGCCGCCGAGAAGGAGAACCTGCCGATGCAGCGGGCGGGCAGCATGCTGAGGCGCCAATATTCGCAGCAAGAGCAGCCCACGAACCGAAGGCTGTCCGCCTCCGAAGGCGGAATGGACCCCATGATGAGTCCGGGTCAGCAGCAGATGCAACATCACCAGCAGCAGATGCAGCAGCGGTCCAGGATGCAGCCGATGAATCCGCAGCAGGCGCAGCAAGGATACGGAATGCAGCAGCAGAGATCCGGAGGAGCCTATTCCGACGATGATCCGCGTTACTATCAGGTAAGAACTTTCAAAATTTGGAATCACGTAATTTTTGTTTGATTTGTGAAATGTGAAATTTTTTGTTTTAATAATTATTTATGTGGATTAACAACTTGAAGTATACTAAAATAAATGTTTCATAAAGAAATACAATAGAATTTTTACATCAGAACCTATTTGAAATCCATTTGCATTTATCCCTTTAATTGTTATACCTTGAAATCAGATATCTTCACAGTTTAAAATCGATTATAAGTTTATTATTTTGGTGGTGAAATGGGCTTATACGTTTGCAAATTAATTTTAGGGTGAACTGGATGGTCTGATGAGGCAGCATCCCCACCTGGCGCATCCCAGTCAGGTGCAGCCGCAACATCCGCCACATTCGCAGCAATCGCAGCAGCAGCAACAGCAACACCTTATGCCGCAGCAGCATCGCCAGTCACCGCAGCAACATCCTCAGCAGCAGCAGCAGCACTCGCAGCAATTTGCGGCCAGGCAGCAACTTCAACATCAACATCAACAGCAGCAGCATCAGCAGCATCAGCAGCAACAACAACACTCCTACCAGGCGCAGGTACACCAGCAACCGCAGCAACATCCGCACTCGCAGCAGCAACATGGCCAGCAAATGGGTGGCTATCAGAAGCCGCCGCCGTTGACCAGAAACTTGACCATCAGCGGTGGCCATGCAATGGACTCCAGTGCCTACAGCCAGCAGCACCAGCAGCAGCAGCGGAGAGCGCTGGCTGGATCGCAGTACGCGTCGCAGCAGCAGAGATCCTTCAGCAGCTCAGAGGAGGAGTTCCAGCAGCAATTGCTGGCCGCCCAGGCGCAGGCCGCGGGAACGGGGGGCGTGGCCACGGTGACCGCCGGATCGGATTACGATGGTAAGTTGAGACGTTTTGTCCAATTCGCATCCAGCTCTTGCCTTCTCTATCTCTGCTCTACGATCCTATATAGTCTCCCTATACTCCCAGTCTATATCTATCGCTTCCATGCTTTCCCCGCAAGCCAATTGCTCCCCTGACTCCCAAATCCTAGTTAAATTTTCCTATAATATATTTCACTATCTCTCTCTCTGTCTATGTAAACTCTCTTTGACTCGCTCGCTCGACAAAAAAAAGTCCTTTATCCCAAAAAAACAAAAAAGAAATCTTTCGAAACGTAGCACTTCTTGTCTCACATTGGTGCGTTGTCTTTTTCTTTGACTCGTTTTTGCGAACCAATATTTGATGTTTTATTCCATTCCAAAAAAAATCTCTTTAACTTCTGTTTCGCCTCACATTTTCTGTGTTTCATTAATTCGGTGTAAATATTTAATTTTTCAATGTCTATTTAACTCATCGTATAAGTTAGCTGTAAGCCTAATTTAAGGCCCTAAGTTCGATTTAAGCTGGATAAGGAAACCCCTTAATTTTCGCTTTGCACTAAAATGAAAGTTTAAGCTGCTAAACTGGAAAAGTTTCGCCAATCATTTTCCCCGCAAAAGGGGAAAACGCAACTTGCATGCCGGGGGCTATAAAAATAGAGAGCGAACTCACCCACACACACACATACACTCAAACACACACACACACGTGCAGCTTGGTGAAAATCGGAGGAAAATTGGAGAAAAGCGGGAGGGGGGAGGAGAAGCAAGGGCACACAAAAAGCGAAAGGCGAATAGCGAGGAATGTTTTGTAGCGGAAACATTTCGATGCGCTTATCTCGGGGGCACTTGACTCGGCGCTCGACAGCGAATGGAAAGGAAAATCTGAACTGAAAAGGGTGCTGGGAAAAGCGGCAGTGCGGTGCGGTGCGGTGATGGGGGAAAAAAAATGCACAAGAAGGTGCCGCGGAAGCGGTGAAAATAAAAATAAATTGTTTACAGAGAGAGGCCAAAAGAGCCACCGAGACAAGTGCGCACTCCTGGACGCTGCATACTTTCACTTTGCGTTGCAAGTTGCTGTTCTCGTTGTTGTTCTTATTTTTCGCTGTGATTGTTGTTGTTGTATCGCGCTGGCCGTTAAATGCAATCAGCATAAATTATATGGCAGTGTAAAGGCAGGAAGGTTGCACACAGCTGACCCGAAAACACATTTTCCAAACAGGGAAAGGCGAATGGCGAATGGCGAAAGGAAAGAAGGAGGCGCAGCTTTTCCTTTTTGGCAGCCACCACAAAACATCAAGAAGTTGGCCAAGCAGCTGCACTTGCCTGATGATGTCGAGGTAGTTCGAGAGGGGAGGGGTTTTTTTGCTGGCCAAACCGGGGGTGGCATTTCCTCGGGCTGGGGCTTTTCTTCTGCTCTTCATGTTTTGAGAGATGCCGGGCGACGTTGTCAAGAGCGATGCTGGCAAATTTATTATCCTAATTAGAAAGTTTCTTGTTGGCACTTGCTGCAGTTCTGCCACCCTTAAATCCACCCTCTCGACAGGCGACAGTTTGTCATGCACTCAGAGAAAATAGCCTTTTGCTTAATCAATCATTACTGGGATAATTAATATATTACATAAAATCAACAATTGATTATAGATAACTAGGATTGAAATTAACTTAACGTACTATCCTACATATTTCAGAATTTGAGTTTAGGTTTTCATTGCAATAATTCAATACACAATAACTTACAGCAACAAAAAAAGGGAAAATCGACTTTGTAAAATTAAAATTAGAATCAAAAATATATTGATTAGAATTCGATTTAAAATCTTGAATAGCTTCCATATTTGATTTTCTTTGAGTGATTGTTTCGGTGGCAGTGCAACATGCGGCGCCTGGTGATTTAAATTTTTTATTGCTGCACATTAGCGCGCAAGTTTCTGGCAAGCATGTTGCACTTACACCACCCCCGCCCCCCACGCCCCTTGCAACTTCTTCTGTCATTTTCAATTTCCCAACAAACTAGCATATAATAATTATTGATTTCAACTTTGGCCCCAGGCGCACAGTATCCGATTGCGAGTGTGTTTGTGGGCCACCGAGTGTGGCATGAAATTAGGCGCACAAAAGTTACAACCCAACCAACCAGCCAGGGAAAAGCTCCACCCACCTGATCTGGCGTGTGCAACCGCATCGATAAGCAGGTGGCACAACTTATGTCTGCATTCCGTAAATTAAATGCCGAAATGCAGCAAAGTGATAAAAGAAATCGAAACCGTAGCAAGTGAAAGTCTCAAGGGATAGTGGGTGAAATTGGGTGGGTGGTGGACGCCATGTGGGTTGTGTTGGTGGTGCAGCTGCACCAGATATTCACCTCAAGTTCGTGCCACGAAAAACTCACCACTTTGTTGCCAGTTCACAATGCTTCCCAGTGTATCGCTAGACGTCATGCGTTGGAATTTTTCCCGTCCAACGATTCGCTTGGAAAATTCCCACACACCATCGTGGCACACTGACACGCATGCGCTGCACTTTTCCCCCCCGGTTTCCACCCCCGCGTCTTTCCACCCCTGGTCTTACATCCACTTCCATGGCGGTGGGCGGTCAAGTGGGCGGGCGAGGCAAAGGAGCAGCTGATGTTGGCGTGAAGCGCGCGTAAACCCACAAAAAGTTTTGCTTAACCCACGACTCAAATTGGCTGAATAAAATATGCTCCTAAATATAACAGTAACGTTTTTTTTTTTGTGTATTTTCAAGTGATTAAGAAGTTGATGAACCACTAAAGTAGGCAACGATAATTTAATTACCTCTATACGCAAACATTGATTCTATTTCCCTTATTAAAATACAAGAATTCATATAAAAACTAGAAGTTTTCAAAATATTATAAATTTATAAAAAAAAAAAAATTTATTTTAAAAAATGTTTTCTAAATATTGTTAGTCTGCGATTTCAAAAAAAAAAAAAAAAAAATTTTTTTAAATCCTTCAAAGTTTAATAAATTTAAATATATTTGCTAACATTTTCGCAATAGAGATGGTTACAATCCTTTGATATTTAAAAACATTGTTTTCATTAAGGTGTCTCAATTAACAGTATATTAACTTAACTTAATTCGTTTTATTTTAGCAATTATTATTAACTTTTCACAATCAAGCATAAATAAGTGGTTTGACTGCTGTTTGCTTGACTGTATACATTTCAATATTGGGCTAACTACATCTCCTAAACTCTTAAACTCTTTTTAATAACTACCTCGATCTGCGTCACGTTAGCCACTTTTGGTATTTTTTCCCGTCCCGTTCGAGTGGAGTCCGCATCCCAGTTCGGGTTGGGTTTCCCTTGCAGCGACGTCATTTCATTCAGTTCCTTTCGTTTCGGGGGTTTTTATGCAGCGTCATGGTCCTTACTACGGCCACCAACAACAACGAATGCACTTGCACTTGCAACGCCAGCAGTGGCAGTGGCAGCCATCCATCGCGGTGGTGCTAGTGCTTTTCCGCATCCAGCACGCGCAGCACCAACCACCTGACCCACCCACCGCACCACCCAATGAACCACCGCCTGCTTGTCTGGAAGGCAAAGACAAACACGTTGACTTTGCGAGAGAATTCGCCTTGAAGGTGGCAAACACAAACAGCGAAACACACGGGGAAAAACCCGCTGACCCTAAAGTGGGCGTTGGGCGGTGGATTGTTAGTTGGGTGGTGGGTGGCCCAGTGGGCGGTGGGCGGCAGCAGCTGTCAATGTTATCGGTGCTGGCTGCGACGTCGACTGAGGCAGAGGCAGTGGCAGCGACAGAAGCAGCGGCAGCGGTGTTGGCCACGCGCTTAACTTTATTTTTAGTTCGGCACTGGAAATCGCCATGGGAAAGTGGGCAACAGCAACAAACACTGGACGCCGTGTAACATTGTTATTGGAAACGTTGTAGGCTCCAGCAACAAACAACATTACAACAACAGCCACCGAGAGAGAAAGTGAGAGAATGAGAGTAGGCGCAAGGGAAAGCGAACGGCAGCGTAAAGCGAAAATTCCATTGAGATTTTTTATGAAATCGAAACGAAAATTAGTTTTCGATGAACTTTAAAGGCGAGTAAACAGCCGCAGCGGTCGTTCTCGCGATTTTCGCACGTGTGTCGCAAGAAAAAAAAAAAAAAAAAAAAATAAAAAGGAAAAGAAAAGAAAGGAAATATTCTACTAGCCAATAATATAGGCAAAAATACGTTGCTGGAAAATCGACAGGAGTCCCCGCAAAACGAAATACGAGTGAAAAGCGCAAAAAGCCAACGTCAGTGAGTGAAATCGAAAGCGAAGCGGGCGGAAAAGCGAAAGCCAAACTCTGTGAAATGTGAATGTCGAGTTAAAAATAACCTTGGTGGGAAATTGTACAATCCGAAAAGTAGGAGGAGGCCTCGAGGAAAAGCCTGACATGTGGCTGTCGGGCGGAGAAAGCGGAGAAAGTGAAGAGAGCGGCGTCAGTTAAATAAAAATGTACTTAATTGGCCATGAAGCATAAATAATTGAGAACTTGGCATTGAGCAGCAGCCAAGGATAATTGCCCTTCAGCCAGATTTAACCAAAAAGTTATAAAAAAAAACCCCAATACTCACGTGAAAAGTTAAATATAAATATTCGAAAGTGAAAGTGCTAAAAAAAAATTGTTCAACAAAAAAAAAGGTAACCACGACCTTGAAATCGCTTTAAATCTGCCTAATTGAGCGAAAGCGTACCCAACAACCAAGGCGAAAAAAAGCAAACAAATTTCCTCTCGAATCAGTCAATCGACTAACAATACACTGCGCAAATTGTGGCGCCCAACGGACGCTTTTGCATATGGCCAACCAGCCGAGCCACTCAGCCACCAAACCACCCAGCCACCCAACCACCCATCCACCTACGACCCCGAGCCCACGGCCCACTCGCTTGGAGGGCCTAAAACCACCCACCCACCCACACACACACACTCGCAAAGGAAAAAGCGGAGGCAGCAGCAACTTAATATTATTGTTTTATTTTTTTTGTTCTTTT